GGAAAGATTCTGTCCTCTGTCTTTGGTTCCGAGCCTTCGGAGTCTTCTTCTTCTTCCTCTTCTTCGTTTTCGGGTTCCGATGCTATTTCAGGTGCTGCCTATCATACTCCCAATTCATATTAATGCAATTGAATATTTATAATGATAAGCATATGTGTTTCTTTATGGAAGTACTGGTGGTAGGAAATGGAGTTTTGCATGTGCGTGAGAGGGAGTTTTTGTTTTCAAGAAAGATAAAAACTGAGAATATCTTCAAAGGGAAAGTATGGGAGAAGGAATGCTGAATGCTTCCAACTCGGAGTTATTAGTTGTGAATTTCACTATTTTCGTTTTCTGAATCACAGTAGTTACACATCTAGGTGTTTGAATCATTCGATGCTTGAAACTCTAGTATTGAATGTGAGGATATGATACGTTTCTTGTTCATTGTGTTTTTTGAAATAATATTTAGGGAGAGATTATAAAGTTCATATATTATGCGGGGTAGCTGTAGTAGGATAGCTGCGGAGGCACTTATTTGAAAGCTGGCTGCTATTTGGGCCTTTTTCGTGCATTTCATTTAAAGTTGTTTTTATTGCAGATGATGTTGATGACAATGAGAATGATAATTATGTATCTTCTCAGGGGGCTGAAAATTTTGCAAAGGTATTACGCATGCCTTTATCCCGCATAATGTTGTGGTGTTGATACTAATTTTCCTTGATTTATTTCCCGTACTGATATTCTGATAATTTTTTACACTAATGATTAAGTATGGCAATTTTCTCCGCGACCCGTGGAGCTTCGTGGAGATACCCGCCGCGGGGATGGAGATTTTTAGAATATTCTTACCCGTGGAGCGGGGATGGAGATAATTTTTTACCCGTGAAATTTCGTGGGGAATTCTCCCCATCCTGCGGAGAACCGTGGGGAATTTTCTCCACCCCGCGGAGAACCGTGAGGATCCATATAAAAGAAAAAATTTTAATTTGTTTATATATATTTTTTTTGTATATATATTAGCAATTAATTTTTCCTTATCCAATTTAATTAGTTAACCCAATACCAACATAACTTAAATTTCACAACCCACTCTTTTATCAATTTTTTCAAACCCAATTCTCAGTCCAACCCAATTTTTTTTGTGAATCTAATAATCCTAAACCTACTTTCCCAGCCCCAATTTACAGCCCAATTTACAAGCTTGATTTACATATAACCCTAGCAGGAGAACATTTCACTCAGTCTCTCTTTTGCTTGTCGCTTCTTGCAATTGCAAATTGCAAATTGCAAATTGCGAATTTGGGAATTGGGATTCCTCATTCCTCTCTCGGTCGGCGTCGGTCTCTCCTCTCCAGTCAGTCTCTGAGTCTCCTCTCCTCTAGTCCTCTGCCACACTCTTGCTTAAACTCTGCCCTCATCTCCACGGATCACTATGAATCGGTGCTTCCCTTCAGCTCTCAACCTCTCACCGACTCACCATACTGTCTCTCGGTCGGTCTGTCCAATCAGTCTCTGAGTTTCCTCTCTTCTAGTCCTCTGCCACACTCTTGCTCAAACTCTGCCCTCATCTCCACGGACCTTCACAGTGATTCCCTTCGGCTCTCAACCTCGCCGTCACTACAACCCTTGGCCCTTGCTGCCCTGCAACGCTCGCCGCTCACCTCCAGCTGAGCTCCAAGGCTGCCGCTAGGTCATCTCAACCCGCCTCTCACCGTGGCATCGTGTCGTCAGCCCATCACTGCAAGTCAGCAACGCTCCTCGGTCACCACCGCTCACCTCCATCTTGTTTTAAAAGAGTGATCTTGGTCATCTTTGTTTGCTATATAGGATTCTGTAAAATTGCTATTTTTTTTTTAAAATTTTGATTAACAAGCAGTGAAATAGGTGATAGTTTTATTTGGTGGGGACTCCGAATACCCGCGGGGACCTATTATTTCCCATGGGGATCTATTATTCCCCGTGAGGATGGAAACGGAGGCAATTTTTGACCCTCCACCAAAATTCCCTGCGGGGATCCCCGTACCCGTCATTGACGGGGATGGGGATGGGGATGGGGATGGGGATGGGGAGGGGTCCCCACCCCCGTGGGGACCCGTTGCCATCCCTACTAGTGATTGGTGATGAGTGATAACTATTATGCTGTTAGAGAGCTTTATTATTTCCCTTTTGGTTTGCCAGAGGGAGCCCCAAACTATTGCAAG